CTGCTTGAAAACAAGGCCCCTGATCCAGACAACACTTTCATTGCTCCTACTTCCTTCTAAGAGGAAAGGGATAAAGATAGTGGCCAATGGGAAAGAAACATTTCCCGTTTTTCCTCTGCAAGTCATTCAGATGCCCACATCTGCCAGATCTCTCCCTCCCAGCTGCCTACTGATCCCTCAGCCTGCTTAGATATAACAGGAGCTGGGGTGTGGGCACCTTTTAAAGATTTCAGACTAAGAGGATCTCCCTCATGCCTGGAGGAGTGGTTTGACAGAACACTTTCTCTTGCCATAGGTACCATGGCTATACACCAATCCCACCCTCTGCTGAGCTGAGAAGTGAATGAACAAATTCAGAGCAGATCCCCACACAACTGTTGGCTCAGCTGGCCACAGACAGACTTTCAAAACACTGTCCAGGAGGGCTTTCTTCCCAAAGTGGCTAATTAATCAAAATAAATACCTGCAGTCAGGAGCCCCCCCACAGCACTGTCTTTGATTTGCGCAGTGAAAGCATTCCAAGACATCTTAATTTGTTGCTAGGTAAATGGCTGCAACATCACTCTGAAGAATATAGCTTCTCAGTTGGAGCTGTGCAAAACCATCACTCTCTTTTGATGGAATGATGGAACACGGTGTATAAAACAGAGGTGCTTTTTTTTTTTTTTCTTTTTTTCTTTTTTTTAAATGATTCTACCAGCACTGAGAGGTTTAGGTTCCTCTGGAGTTCTCTGCTCTTCCTTTTATTCAGATAGCAGAATACTTTAAAAAATACAAAAAACTCCTGAGGAGACTGTTCTTTTGCAAACTACGACTAGCAAGACTAACAGTAACTCCAAAAATAGGAAAGAATGTTGACAGCACGAAGGCCAGCCTCCCAAGGCTTCCAGGGAGAACAGGAAATCCCCATGTGCCAGTAAGTGTTCTCAGCTCTTTTGCTCTTTTCTGAGACTCCTACAGCCTTCTTCTTTTTTCACGGGTTCTGACTTCTCCTTAATGGGGCAGACAGTACTGGAGTACACACCATAAAGCACAGCACATCCTGTCTCAAAGGGAGAAGTTTGTATTGGACAGCAAAGCATTTTGCTGTATGGAATGGAATTGTCACCACCTTCTATACAAACACTTGATCACTCCCTTCCTTATAATTCATACAGCAGCTCTCTTCTCCCAGAGGGGCATCTAGAGGTTTGTATCTCCAACCCTAAGCTTCCAGTTTGAAACTATGCCAAGCAATTCCTGTAGAAAATTCTTCAAAAACTGTTAATTTGAAGGTCACCATTTAACCCCCACTTTACTTCTAATGTACCCCTAGCTCTGCAAAAATACCTCCTTAGGACAATATATCCAGACTGGGTGACTATCATAAAAGCATTCCCTGACAGAATCTGAGAGATCTTTGGGTGTCTCCGTTTGTCTTTTCAAAAAGAAAATCACTCTTCATCTTCACCCATTGTGTCATATTATGACAATGTAATAACTGACTGTCTCCAAAATATCTCCTTTGAATATATTTGCCTCTTGCCTTAATTTCTCATTTGTGCCCTACTCCCTCATGAATTTGGAATGTAATGCAGCAAAAAGATATTAAGTTTAACATAGCAGAGCTTGCTAGAAATTATGCTGATGCAACATAAAGCTCATCTGCTAGAAGAAAAGGCAAAAAGCTCAGTTTTGTGGGCTTCCACTCTAAGCTCCTCTCTAAAGTACTATGCTTTGAATTTCACTTAGCTAGTTCCATTTTGTCAGACAATTAGGGAATTTGGGGTTAGCTTTTCTATCTGGTCTTTTTGTGTTTTGGTGCTTTGTTTTGTTTAAAAACAAAGAAGATGGATGAATTTCATTCTTTAAATACTCATTTCCTAAATACCTGTACCAAAGACAAAGACAAAAACCTTCTCAAAATCTTTGAGAGATTTTGTTTGTTTGCTTTTGAGGCTTGGGATTTTCTGTTAGCACTGTTTCCCTTTCTGTGGCAATTAAAGTGGTTCTGTTTTGTAGCTGATAAAGGTGCCTTTAACACGTGTTCACAACAAGGAGCATTGTGCACTATTACAATTGTTCAATAGATGCCCAGTCCCAGACAGATGGTGCTTTATCCTCACCCTCTCCTCAATACAGCACAATGCGTTGTCCTTTCAGGGATTAATGGAAGTGACACATAAGATGCTAATTCTGATAGCAACTCTGTTACTACACTACAGATGCTAAAACTACTGCTTACAACTAGAAACGGGAAGCAGGTGCTGAACACTGAACATTGAGAAGCCAAAGTGATGAGGACAATGCAAGAACCTATTCACAATGCAACCAGAAGATCGTAGACAAGGAGAAAGAGACATTTGAAAAGGAAGACAAGGATGATGGGAATGAAAAACACAGAAATGGTAGGGGAAAAAAAAAAAAAAAAAAAAAAAAAAAAAAAAAAAAAAAACACGAAGATTAAAGAAGAAAAAATGAAGACCAGGAACCAAATGGGAAGTTAATGTAAAAGATCCAACACAACAGAGAAAGTGTCTTTTCTCGGTTATGGCCAACACATCAGTAAATCAGCACTAGAAAGGTGCCTCGTAATAGGGAAAAACAGCTGAAAAACGTGATGGCATTGACGTAGATTATTCTATGGTTGGATTTTAACCCGCTATATACCCCAAAGCAATACTGGCTTATAAATCAACTTATAAATGTTTAACATGTTGAATAAGCAGACAGTTGAGTACTGGTTATTAATAAAAATAAAAGTCCTAATACTGATTCCTGGATCCCTACTCCAAGAAAAATATGCCAGTAGAAGTGTGCATAAACACTTTAAAAGGCAGACAGGTCAGAGAGAAATTTTCAGCTCTGTCGTGGATTAGCTCATTTTGTGCTTAGATAGATTTCAGATCAAAGACTAATTTGAAATGCTTTCTCAGTTATGTTTAAAATGGGCTGAGAAGCACCTAGGCTCAAATCAGCTTGTGCTACAGCACATCTGTCATGTTTTCCTTTTGGTATTGTACTCATTTACCATGGTCCGCATGTGGCACAGCAGGGCAGAGGAAATCCAAGGTATCGGTCCTCTCTGAAAAAATCATTGGGGCATGGGAAATCTTTTGTGTTTGAGATACATTCTTACATATTTAAATGTTTGACAAATCTAGCCAGATATGTCACAGTCATGAAACATAAAAATTTGAATAACTAGCACTATGCCATCAGTAATTGGTCAAGGAGACACTGACCTTTCATCCTGCACTTCAGAAAAGGTTTCTTAAAGCAGAAAGGGAAAAGTGAGAAAGAGGAGGCTACTCTGAGATGTTTATCAAGCCTGAAAAGCCAGACCCTTCGCAGCAGATGGTAGATGGAAAACAGGAAGATTTTGAGAAAGAATAGAACAGTATAAAAATACTGGAAAGAAGGAATGCATTATGATAGTAGAAAATACTGAGGTTTAAAGTTATAGTGGGAAATACATTCTACACTGTCTGTTTCTCCATTAATAGATAAAAATGAAGCAATAGAATAAATAGAAGGGAAATGGAAAAGCAAGAGCAGTCTATCACTAACAATCTTATCCACTAAGAAGATTAAGTCCTGATCTTGAAACAGCATAATAAACCATAATGTTTTCAAATTTATTCTGAGGGCTAGGGAAATGGTAAATACTGTTAACATCTCACACATCTCTAGTACTTTGTATTAAAAAGATATAGTCATGATAAAACACAGATGAACTATTAAATAAGAAAGCTACCTTTTGCTCACAAAGTCAGTGTGCTGCAAATCACTGGAAGTAGAGTGAGCAGCAAAGTCAAACTGCATGCATCTTGTCAGGGGATCCACCGCTATCAGGCAGTAGGAATGGACTAGGTGGATCTTTGGTCTAACCTCTTTATCCATTTCTATAGCTTTCTTTACTAAGAAATAACATGTCAGGGAGATAGAAAAAAAAATATTAATGATGGTATGTTTGACAGCCACTATACTGGATTAAAAAGGTCTCGGTTGAGGCCAAGGACAATGCAGGTCAATACCTAACTAGTAACCTCCCACTCCAAGCAAACATACATCAGTTACACTCTGTAGCATCTCTAGAGTCCCACAAAACCTCAATTAGTATTTTTATTGCTCACTTGTGTAGCACTCCACACATTTCCATGCTCAGACTCCCCTTACATCTTCATATGCAATTGTCTTTGCTATTTCACATCTGGATCTTTCTTCAATAATGCTTATTGTATTGTCCAGAAATTTTGCTGATTTTGTAACTGCATATAATTTGGATGCCAGAAAAAAATAATAATAAAAAAAAATATTTCTTTTGCAGTCCAAAATAATATTACAGATTCAGAGCTACATAATGAACTTTCCCCTCTCAGTTTCAGTCTCTTCTTTTTTTTTTTCCCCCATTCCTTGTGCAACTCTGCCAGTGTGATTCCCTCCTGACTTGCAACATGCCTCTGGACTTCAGTATCAGTGCCACCATACTTTAATGTCCTCTAAAGGGGTATATGTACAACTTAGCTCTAAGAACCGCTACTCAAACAATTATATTTTTAAATGTAGAAGCTCCTAGCTGTGCTAAATTCCATACCCTGCTACTGATTTTATTTTTGAGGTAACCCAAGATAACTTCGGTTCAAGCCTTTAAAGCATAATCCTCTCTCCTCTGTTACAAAAGTGCTGTCCTGTGAGCCATAAGAGATCAGTTCATCTTCACTAAAACCATGTACCGTTCTTTAAGTCCACACATAACTTTCCGTAGGTTCTCTATGCAGTCATGTGTATAAATTGCAAACACTTCCAATGGTTTGGGTTGCTTGAGCAAGATTCATTTTACAAATAAGTCAGCATAGCCTTAGCTTCTGCCAGGCCCAACTAAATGAACAAATACTTCATGTCTAGGTGTGAATGTTTGAGCAACATTGAACTTTCATTTTTATAAAGTCATTTTTGCCCAACACAACTGTCATTAATCTCATTTTTAATGTTATTTGTATACATAAAACAGATCTTACCTTGATCTTCTGAAGAGACGGGTGACCTGAAATATAAAAAAAAAAAAAAAGAAGAAGAAAAAAAAAAAAAACAAAACACAAAGTCCAATCAAACTTTGGCATGAAAAGGTCACAAAGAAGTTTCAAATTGTACTGTGGGGAATTGGATATGGAGGAATTGAAAGGTTTTATTCCTGGGCTTACTTAGAAGGAAGGACTGGAAGACAGCTAACAAAAAAAATGTGCAGAAAAATGCAAAGACCTTCTCTAGCAGCAGGTCCTGCAGACCAGAGTGGCCATATTGAACTATGTGCATAAGACCATGATCTCACTATTAAGCACTCAAGAAAATAGTTTCTTTTGGATACATGGCAAAGAACTTACCTACTACTGTTACTGTCAAAAATAGCTGATGTTACTGTTGAGAAAGTCCTGATCCCCCAGAGATTATCAAAGGGACCATAATTAAGTGCAAGCCGGGAGGAAACCTCACAGCTAGAGGTGGTGTAAGAAATAATAGCCTCAGAGGAAATAGCAGTTACTAAGGAAGCCATTTCTCTTACTACTCATAATTAATGAATTCATAATAATAATAATAAGCCAATGCTGCTTTCACAAAGGCAACAGAAATGGACAAAGAAAAGAAAAAAAAAAAAAACAAACAAAAAAAACACAACACTCTCTGGACAGATGTAAGTGCTTCAAAAATAAACTCAACAGCACCAACGCAAGAGTTAGAGGATACCCTACGTAAACTTCTTAAACCTCTGACAATACTCCAAGAGCAAGGCATTATAAAACATGAGGGATATCTCAGTGCTCTGGCTGATAAACAGAAGGTCCCCACTAAATTTCAGGGATCTGTTTCACAGTTCCCTTCACTAAAGAACTCACTCCTCATCATATTGCCCAACATACATGACAAAAAGAACAAAAGAGGTGTAAATTATTGGCCCTTCATTTTTGCCTTTGCTGCAGTAGCTTGGCTCAGAAAAAATGGGCTAATTGTACAGCCAAATCTGGATATGCCTTGGTCATTGAGACTCAGCTTGACAACACAGTGGATTGGATCATTGCCTCAGCGCCTCTCTGACAATGATTTTCAACTGCATATAAAGTCTTCCCACACAGGTAACAAGAAGTTTGTTCCTGCAATGAATGGAACAACTCATGCTTCCTTTCCAAGATATATTTAATTCTGCACCAATATACAAAACTAACAAATTACTAAAAATTTTAAAATGTTAGAGTTGTCAACAAACAGGTCAAAGCTGACATCTGAAAATCAGCCAGAGAAGGGAAAATAAAGTACACAAGGAACAAAAGGGGAAAGAAAATATATATATTTAACTGAGTCAGTGGGGGATAGAGGGAAAGCAAAGGGTTGGAAATCCTGGATTTAGAGGAACAGAGGAGCTGGGGAAGGATTCTTGATCTTATTCCATAATAGGGGTTTGAAAGGTAAGGTTGAATGATCATAGGACATCAGAAACAGATATGTACACATGTGGATGGAAAGAAGGAAAAAAAAAAAAAAAAAAAGGAAGCTTTCCTAATGAGGTATGCAGATTTTTATTTTTAAAATATAAAATTGCAGAGAAAGAGATGAAAGAGTTACAGCATGGCTGGAGCAACAGTCACTGTGAAAGGAAAAATGTGATTACCTAATTAAGATTCTGAGTGTGCTAGAAGCCAATGTATCTGTATGGATCAGAATTAATTAATCCCTACTCCCATTAAATCCTCGCACTACTGCTGCACATCATAACTATGTTTCCCACTCTGCTGCCAACCAAACCAGCTATGCCCTTCAACTTCAGCCATGTCTCTGGAAATATGGTACGAATGCAGGTAACCCAGAGGATTAGTAGGCATCACTCAGACTCCCACAGCTTTAATCAGCAAGCCAACCCTCAGCAGAAGCCCTTATGAGGGTCAAAACTCAAGACATAGAATTTCCTAAAAGGTTACACCATGCAGAATGGGCCATATCAAAAGGTGTAATGCTTAGGTTCTTAAAGATATTTTTACATGCAGGAGTCATGCCAGGGTCCTTAGTTCACCTATCCTGACACTAGACCCATTTCCAAACACAGTATCCCACAGTATCAGAGGAATTTATTCCTTTGTTTCTTTTCTTAATTGCACAGTTTCATCACCTTTTAGGTCTTTATGTGAAACAATAAAATAAACTAAACAGTTGGATTATCCCATAATTTAGATCATCATTATGTGTGGTAAACCAGATGTTACTTGCCCCTTAAAAAATAAAGAAGAGATACTATTGCAATAACATGACTATCTCCATACAAACACTGAAGAGAGAAATGAAAAATGTTTGTGTGCATTTAATGAGCCCAAAATTAGAATGTATTTTACAAAATGCTAATCCCATGTACTTCTGATCCTTTTTTGCATTCTTTGAACTTAGTGGTTAAACAGTGAGTAATCTAACAGGTAGTACTGTCACTACTAGCAGTGTTTTCATTTGTAAAGCTTCATCAAGCATCTTTTGCATAGGCTGGTATCCTAAGAAAATAAGGTCTATGCACACACCAAGGTGTTCTGATTATGTGTATATCTCTGCCTCAACCTAATAAAATTTGAGCCAGTTGGCTGATTTAATCCATTTTTAACAGAGGGGGCAGAGACCCAATTATTGCTTTCACAAGGAAATGCAATAACATGAGCTCAAACTTTCTGAGGTAGCTGTGAAGACACAAAGAGAGGTTCTGAATACCTCAGCCACAGGAAAGCCTCAACAAGAGCTTCCACAATGTGTGATACTGAAGGATGAACCACAATAAACTAGGCTTCCTTTATTCCACTACTCACAGAAAGAGCATTTTGGCAAAGAGTAGAGCAGACTTTCAACACTCTCCTACAATTTCAGGCCATGCATTTAAGCAGGAGAGATTTTTCCAAAGCATTCAAGCACTGTCCTAACTACACCAAGAGAAGTCTTGCTTGTAACTATAGCATAAGGAAGTGAGGCTGCTGAGTCCTTTTAGAGTCCAGGCTGATAGTGCTGGGCACTTTATGCACTGTTTGGGCTACCCCATGCTTATGACAGGGAGGAAGGAAAGAAAGAAAGCCTAATGACCTGCTCTAAACCACATCCACTCACTCTACAGTCACAGGGGGCTTGCCTGACAGCAAAAAATCTGGTGGATGCTCATATTTCCGGTCACACATCTTTCTTTCAGTTCTTTAAGAAGTGTGAGGGATATACTGTGGCAGCAATGGTCACCAAATGGGTGTCCTGAGAAGGGTGGATTCTCAGCTGCTAATGTCCACAAAGAAAACATCTAGCTAGCCTCTTGCAGCTGCCCTCTGAGTATGATTTTAGTTGTTTTACAGTCATAAAGAGTCAAGTTATCATTCTCACAACTTCCATGTCTTAAAAAAGTAGAGAAAAGTCAGAGATATTTCAGAAGAACAAATATGCTGTCAAGATGTTTGCCCCCACCTGGATAAGTACACTTTGCCAAATGAAATCAAGAAAATACTTCCATTTGCTTAAAAAAATAATAATAATAAAAAAAAAGAAATTAAAAAAAAAAAAAAAAAAAAAAAACAGGAAAAGCGTCAGGCACTGCAATATCCTAATCTTAGCCATTTCAGTACAGAATTGCTTATTTTCTCATATTGACAGTTACTTGCTTGTGTTCTTACCTTCTGGAAATGTAACTTGCAGAAAATTAACGGTGCTGCCAAAATTAGCTTCTAGGCTCATCACCCCACCACCCCATCCTTCCCAGAAGAGCGTAAAGAGGATAGAATGTCTATGGCTGGCTACATTTTCAGAATTGTGACATTCTTTTACCAGCAATGCACTTTCACACACTTAAGTGTGAAAGGGAAGCTCAGTTTCTAATATTTTCACAAAAAGGTAGCAACTTGACTTCTCCCCTGCCCTGTGTTGGCTTTATTAAGAGTTATTGCTTTAGTGACTAGTTAGACAAATTTTACTGTGATGCTAAGGAAGAGGATGAGAAGAGAGGAGGACAGAAAGAATGTTATCACCTCCATTTTCTTTCCATGCTGTTTGTACCCCTCTTTTTGCTACAGGTCCTGCAGGGGCGTTCTCTTCCTGCTGCAGAGTAGCAAGCTCTGCTCAGAAGAGATATCAGCCCTTGCAAGCCTCAGTCTGCAGTGGAAGCTGCACTTCGCCTGCTCCACCATTCCTTATGCAAAGTAGTACTTTCTGTTCGTACATGAAATGCACAAAGTTCTCCCAGTAAATATTTAGAATGCACAAAAAAGCCTGAATACAATGTAAAAAGCCTTCTAATCATACAGTCATGAGATGCTTCCAGGAAATTGGAAGACTTATGGTACTGACGGCATGACATGTGCCCACCTAAAGCAGCACTGTGCTTCAGAGCTCAGGGTCTGATCCAAAGCACACTGGAATCATTCCACTCTTACAGGCTTGGGATCAATTGCTGGCAAAACTCTAATCCCCAGTATAGCCAAGACAGCCTTCAGCATCATGCAAACCTTCCCCAAACAGCCAAACACTTGCAGCTGTTTCCCAGTGTGCTCTCCAATGTGCAAGCACAAGATTTATTCAGCACTGGAGGGATGGAAGAGGGAATATTCATTTCCAAGGAAGGCAGGGCAGGGACTGTCACAATTTAGAGCCTAGTCAACCAAGGCTTAAGAACCTAGAGAAACACAGCCAGCCTCCAGCAGACAAATTCTAACAAAATTTCAGGAACTGGGTACATTATTCATGAAGACAAAAGCCTCTGGAGAAACAAACCCAGAGCTGATGTAAAGCAGCTATTTTAATCAATAAACCTGTAGCAGAAAGCATCTGCACCAGGTCTATTTAAAACCAGCCATTTAGAATTTAAAGGCCAAATAACAATCCATGTGCAGCCTTTCTGATGGGTTTTATGACCATTCCTCTTTTTCCCTGCTTAAGCAATGTATTTCTGCAAACTTTCTCATTCACTCTGACAATACCTGCCTGTGAGCAACGAAGGGAAAGAGCTTTTAGATTAAATTCACTCCTCCTCATTTTTTGCGTACATCTCTT